CAATGAGCCGCCAATGTGATATGGCTGTGAAAAAAGCTAATGCAGTCTTGGGATGCATCAGGAGAGGTATTTCCAGTAGGGATAAGGAGGTTTTAGTACCGTTATACAAGGCACTGGTGAGACCTCACCTGTGTGCAGTTCTGGTCTCCCGTGTTTAAGAAGGATGAATTCAAACTGGAACAGGTACAGAGAAGGGCTACTAGGATGATCCGAGGAATGGAAAACTTGTCTTATGAAAGGAGACTCAAGGAGCTTGGCTTGTTTAGCCTAACTAAAAGAAGGTTGAGGGGAGATATGATTGCTCTCTATAAATATATCAGAGGGATAAATACCAGAGAGGGAGAGGAATTATTTAAGCTCAGTACCAATGTGGACACAAGAACAAATGGATATAAACTGGCCACCAGAAAGTTTAGACTTGAAATTAGACGAAGGTTTCTAACCATCAGAGGAGTGAAGTTTTGGAATAGCCTTCCAAGGGAAGCAGTGGGGGCAAAAGATCTATCTGGCTTTAAGATTATCCTCGATAAGTTTATGGAGGAGATGGTATGATGGGATAACATGGTTTTGGTAATTAAATATTCATGGTAAATAGGCCTAATGGCCTGTGATGGGATGTTAGATGGGGTGGGATCTGAGTTACCCAGGAAAGAATTTTCTGTAGTATCTGGCTGGTGAATCTTGCCCATATGCCCAGGGTTTAGCTGATCGCCATATTTGGGGTCGGGAAGGGAATTTTCCTCCAGGTCAGATTGGGAGAGGCCCTGGAGGTTTTTCGCCTTCCTCTGTAGCATGGGGCACGGGTCACTTGCTGGAGGATTCTCTGCTACTTGAAGTCTTTAAACCATGATTTGAGGACTTCAATAGCTCAGACATAGGTGAGAGGTAGTGGGTGGGTGAAATTCTGTGGCCTATGTTGTGTAGGAGGTCAGACTAGATGATCATAATGGTCCCTTCTGACCTTAGTATCTAGGAATCTATGAATCTATGTAGCACAAAGGGCTTTGGAGTTCCAACATGTATTTTTCAGTATAACATTCTTTCACACTTTTTCATATTGGGAAAAACAGGAGCTTCCTACTGCCCAGTGTATGTAAGGGACTTTGAGAAATAGGTAAGGCAAAGCTTTCCTGGTAAAATCTATTTAATCCATGTTGACCTTTCCTAAGTGTACCTTAAATGAAGCATTAATCATGGGGCACTAGTAGAGGGGAGGAATATCTTTTCACTTAATCATTCATGACCAATACTTTTCTTGTAAACTTGATTCACTGTCTTGCCTGGCAATTTTGGGAGTGGGTTTTTTTGTTGTTGTTGTTGGGGTTTTTTTTTTTTTTTGGGTTTTTTTTGTCTCTCATTTTTAAGCCACAAGCTGCTTCTTATCCTGAAAACAGTTCTTTTTAGGTCAAAAACTGTATGAAGCCATTTTTTCCTTCTCCTAGGTGTGCTGCCAGGACAGAGGAGGTCCAGGGTCTTGCCATTCAGTGTCAGAAATAAAGTCCTGACAGTGATAAACAGTGTCAAGATGTGAATCTGATTCAGAACTCAGCACGGGAGATGTCTAGGAAGACAAGGTTTTACCATTGTTGTAAATGTCTTGTTGCTTCAGAAAAAGCTGTTGACCTTTTACCGTCAAACCAGAAAAGCAACATAGCTAATGATTTTCCTTATTGGGGCAGGGGGCAGGGAGCTGTTTGAGTCTGTTTCTGTCATCACCATCAAGCTGGAAGTTCCAAAAAAAAATTTTTTTAATCTGTACAAAGGTCAGTGAAAGCTTAAAGTTTGCAACTTGAAACCACTGGCATGAAAGCATGGCACTTCGTTTCTGTTTGGAAAGGTGCATGTTTGTGGAATCAAATCAAAAGGTTCTTCTGAATCTAGTGATTGTGTGCGTAATTATATATATATATATAAAATTTATATATATATATAGAGAGAGAAATACATAAGTTTTAAGATTTTAAGGGTTATTTTTTATTCTAAATCCTTCCTTACTAGTGGCTTATTAAAGAGAATGATCATTTAAAATAAAAACCCTCAAATGGAGATTTAATCCTCAAGAGAAGAAGTACTCCATTTATTGGAACCTTACTTATCTCACAGAGAATAAGGGGATTATGTGATTGCTTTTGTGTTCTGAATGATTGTGGCTAGACAGTTACAGACATAATAGACTTGCCTACTGAAACAGAAGCATTACTGTTAGAGGGATATGCAGCTGGTTGCAAGAAACATATTTATCTGAACAGAAATGCCCCTTGTAATTTGCTGAAATGCACGCTCTGAACGTGGAAGGCAGGCATTTTTGGAATACATACACTGCCTTTTGTTACTGTTTTTGACACAGCATAGCCTCTGGAGATACTGACCTTAGTGCACTACAGAATTAGCCAAGGGACCTGAGCTTGTGAACCTTTGAGAACATAAAATACAGCGGATCAGCTAGAGACTGAGTGCATCATGGGGGATAAGGACTGGCTTCAGCAATACACAGCACGAGCTAAAGTAATGGAAAGCAAGCAGAGAACTAGAGCCTATATAAGAAAAAGCCCCATATATCAGGACTTTCAATAGGAATTGGGCACCCAGGTCCTTGGGACTACTTTGAAAGAAAGATTAATAATGTAGGGAGGCTTTTATACAGCACCTCCCCTCACACACACTCACTAGTTCCTTACGATGAAATGACAACCAGCACTCTGATTTCTCACCCCAAACCTCTAAGCAGTGAGGCAAGGAGGCTTTTTTCCTCCTCTTGGCTTCTTCTTCTTCTCCTCCCTTTCCCTTTGTGGCTGGCCCAGCCTGCCATTCTATGCAAATGTATAAGGAAAGCCACCAGTTAGAATGGGGAGAGGTGAAAGGGGGAAGAAAGGGTACAGGTAAGTAGACAAAAGTAAAGCACTGTGGGATACCTAAAGGTACATGGATTTATACCGATCCAAGAGTGCTGGAAGCAAAATATTGCCCTTCTGCTGTGTGGGCCATCCCATTTCTCCTGGCTTGCACAGAGTACAAGCTCTTTGTGATAAATGTTATCTGTTCTAAATACTGCTAAATGAGCTTCACTTGCAAAGCCTCCCAAAGAGAAATCTTGCTGTGCTAATCCACATTCAGAACTAAATTCTGTCCTCCGGATACACACACAGGGTTCTTGTTAACTTCAGTGTGAGCTCTATGCAGACATCTAAGGGCAGAATTTTGTACTATTTTGTCTTTGTATAGTGACTACTCAAGAATGTTCATGGCAACTCCTCTATGAGGTAGGGAAGTACTAACCCCATTTTACAGATGAGGAACTTAAGGCACAGAACATTAAAGGCTTTAGCTAAAGTCACATGGGAAATCTGTGGCAGGCAGAGCAGAACCTATTTCCTCTCCCTCCCAGTTCCGTGCATTATCCACCTTCTGCTCTTTTTGAACCACAAAGTCCCATCTCACACCAGAGTAATTCATGCCCAACATCTTTATAGGGACAAGTCATGTAAACATTAAAGGTGGGACTTTCCAAAGCCCTCACCACTGGCCTACCTCTGCTGCTAGCATTGTATCATTGACTTCAATAGGAACCTGGGTAGGCCAAGGCAGAAGGCTAAAGCTGTGCAAATAGGGTTGCCAGCTGTCCAGTTTTTGACCAAACACCCAGTCGAAAAGGGACCATCGTGGCTCTGGTCAGCACCGCTGACTGGGCCATTAAAAATCCAGTTGGCAGCACAGCAGGGCTAAGGCAGGCTTCCTTCCTGTTGTGGCTCCATGTGGCTCCTGGAAGCAGCGGCATGTACCCCCTCCGGCTCCTACATGTAGGGGCAGCCAGGGGGCTCCGCACACTGCCCTTGCCCCAACCACCAGCTCCACAGCTCCCATTGGCCAGGAACCACAGCCAGTGGGAGTTGCGGGAACAGTGCCTGTGGACAGGGCAGTGCGCAGAGATGCCTGGCCGCACCTCCGCATAGGAGCCAGAGGGGAGACATACCACTGCTTCCGGTAGTTGCTTGAGGTAAGTGCCGCCCAGAGCCTGCACCCCTGACCCCCTCCCATGCCCCAATCCTTTGCCCCAGCCCTGATCCCCCTCTTGCCCTCCGAACCCCTCATCCCCGGCCCATACCAGAGCCTGCACCTCCAGCCCAGAGACCATACCCCCTCCCATACCCCAACCTCCTGCCTCAGCCCGGAGCCCCCTCCCATACTGTGAACCCCACAACTCCACCCTCCAGCCTGGAGCCCCCTCCTGCACCCCAGACCCCTCATCCCTGGCCCCGCCCCTGGCCTGCATCCCCAGCCAGAGCTTTCACCCCCTCCTGCATCCCAATCCACTGCCTCAACCCGGAGCCTGCTCCCACACACTTATCTTCTCATTTCTGGCCCCACCCTGGAGCCCACACCCCCAGCCGGAGTCCTCGCCCCCTTCCACACTCCAATCCCTTGAGCCAGCCTGGTGAAAATGAGTGAGTGAGGGTGGGGAGAGCGAGTGACAGAGGGAGGGGGGATGGAGTGAGCAGGCCTGGGTCCTCGGAGAAGGGGCGGGGCCTCAGAGGAGGGGTGATGCAGGGGGCAGATCAAGGGTTTTGTGTGAGCAGAAAGTTGGCAAACCTATGTGCAAATAACAGATTTTTCCATTCACTGGTGATTCCAAAAAATAAAAAACTCGTATTTGTTTCAGATCAAGCCATGAACAAAATTTTTCAAAATTTTCAGCAAATTGAAAAGTCAAACAAAATTTCAAACTTTATGTTTTCTTTTGATAAAATAGAAATGTTTCCATTTTTATTTTGACCATTTGGGGTTGTTTTTTTTTAATTAAAGGACATTTCAAAGTGCTAATTCATTTTGAACTGGAAAATCTAGATGGTTGATTTTGAAAATGTTAGAAGTAAACTTTTTTACTTCTTGCCAATGTTTTGGGGGTTTTTTGCGGGGGTGGGGGGAAGATGATAGGTTTTGATCAAAACACTTCAGCAAAACTGACATGAATTAGGTGAAATTGAAATGTTTCACAAACTTACATTTTTCACTGAAAACAGATTTGTCTTAAAAATTTCATCCAGTTCTACAGAAGGTTTTGGAAAACCCTGGCGTAAGTAGTCTGTGCCTAAAATAAAGTAAAAAACAATGCACCGTACTTAGTCAGACTGGATGTAGACTTTTAAAGCCACATTTCTGCCACCTTCACATTGAGTTGGTACCTTCCTCCCCAAGGAAATCCCATAAAGATAACTGGCACTACTCGCAAAGAAATATGCTGCTCCTCAGGAGCAAGGAGGACACAATCTGGCCCTTCGATTCCCATAATCTGTCCACCAGATCCATCCTCATATTCTTTGTGGCAAGACAATCTTAAAGCCACCGCCGTGATTGAATGTGGCAACGAAGGGGTTAAGGTATTCAAACAGTTGCATGGTCCCGCTTACTTCCTGTTTTCATTCATCTCTCTGCTGCCAGGAACACGCCCACTCCCATCGCTTCCTGGTTGGTGTGTTCTGGGGAGACGTTAACTTTCTGGGGGAAAAAAACATTTAAAAAAATTTAATTCATTTTGAAAATAGTTTCATTTCATTTTGAATTATTTAATTTCTGGAAAGGACAATAAACCTTACGCTTTCAGTTGTGCTGCAGAACAGGCCAGCATTTCCCTAGGTCTGTTCATTTCCGTGGATTTATGGCCACATGTCTTACAGGAGGCTATTTTCCCAATGAAAAATCATCATGATTTAGCCATAGCACAAAGGGACAATTTAAGAGGAAGGGGACTAATGATGCCTGCCTGATACAAAGGCATATCTGAGAGCAGTCTGCACATTTTGTTAGTGAGTAGGCAAAGGGAGATCTTAGTTTTACAAGAATTAAATCCCCCATGCTCTGCTCTGCTTCTGTGAGTGAAGGGGAGTCTTTGAGCGCAGATCCTGGCTGGAGCGTGGGGGAAAAAAAGAAAAGTGCCATTTTTGTGCCATGTTTCTCTTTTCCCCTGAATACCCCCCCCTCCTTGCCCCTTCATGAGGGAGGAGACACCAAGAATGTGTCTACACTGAAGTTACATACCCATGGCTGACCCATGCCAGCTGACTCAGGCTCTCAGGGCTCAAGCTAAGGGGCTGTTTAATTGCAGTGCAGATGTTCAGGCTGGGGTGGAGAGGCAATAATGTAACTTCTGTCTTGGAAATTCAAGTGCTTTTCATCAGTAGATCTCAAAGTGCTTCACAAATTTTACATTTTCCCCTTTTTACAGTTGGGGAAACTGAGGCAGAGAGCAGTGACATGACTAGCCCCCAAAGAGCCAGTGGCAGAGCCAGGAATAGAACCCAGCTCTCTGAATTCCAGTCCACTGCTCTGTCTATGAGGCAAAACTGCCTCACGATTAAAAATGCCAGCATAGTACGAGCCACAGTAAATGTTCTAACCTAGGTATGTGCTTAACTTTCAATTCTTCTAGATCAGCCATATGCTCCTCTTGGAATAACAGCAGGAGTTAGCTTTTCTAAAAACCCAAAGAAAATGACTGTTCCATTCAAATAGGGGGTAGTGTTTTCAAAAGCACTCAGCATTGGTTTAACACAGGGTTTTGGACTAAATGATGTCTTTTTCATCTCAAATTTCTTTGATTCTCCCATTGATCCATCAATTATTTTCAAGAGAGAGGCTTTAGATTATACAAAAAGCCTTTGGTCAACCTATGGCTGAAAAGCACTCAAATTTTAGCCTGTACAGCATTGTGCAAATAGGTGGTACAATATAATAATGTACCAATCTTGAGAACCTTTCCAGGACTAATCGGCATTCAGACTTTTTAAATCCTTATGCAGAAATAGTGGCATAGCTAGTACATTTCTTTTTATCATCTTGTATGCAATTATTATTTTTTAAAAAAACAGTCAGATTACTAGACCTAGTCACTGGGGTTAACATAAATCTTCATTCAAGGAGAACATCCTGTTGAAAGTTAGAGTTAAGCAAATAGTTCATTGGGAATAATTTACCCTACAAATTTCACCACTTTCTGCTTGCAGAATGTCCATGGGGAGATCAGGATTTCCTCAGACATATTCTGTATTCAAATTTAATTGGATTTTTTCTTTCGAGAATTGTTTTTCACTCTGTGGATTGAGCATGAAGAATTCACTGCAAGCACCTGATACTCAATAGTCGAGATGTGATGGATAGTTGGGATTGGTCTCATCCAACATATGGTATCATTTCTATTCCTTAATTTGACAGGCAAAATTCATAGGGTTTGAAGAAGAAATGGGAGGGGGACTGGATTCACCGCTGTTGTGAATTGGCATACACTGAAGTCAGTGGAGCTATGCTGGTTTACACCAGTTGAGGATCTGACAATTTATCTTTGAATCTCTCAGGGCGAGGTAGGCAATTTAGAGATACACTATAGATGTCCATGTGAGAAACACATGCCTAAGAGATCAGAGAACACATGACTGAAATAATCAATAAAGGTTTGTCTACACAGTTTTTGTACTGGTATAACTATATTGGTTTAGAAACTAATATACAGTAGTTAAAGCCAAACCACCTCTTGACAAGGTAGTTATACAAGTAGAAGGAGAGTAAGATACACTGGTATAGCTGTGTCCACGCTAGCTGGTTATACCACTGTAACTATATCACTTTGTAAACCAACATAATGATAGCAGTACAAAAACTAACTAGCAGGTGAGCACTTAATTGTTGAAGGTTCCCAGAGGAGCTACAGGTGAACAATAAGTTCCTTGTTGTTAGTACAATTGGTCATGCAGGTACACCGATCTCTAAATAGCCTGTTATGGCAGCTACAATACATCCTAAAGACTGAGTTCATAAAGAGTACACAACAGCTGCAGCGGTTGCTCCATCTCTTGTTCTCCCCCCTCCTCCTCTGCTGTGGCTGAACAAAGGAACAGAAGCAGGATATAGTTCTCTGGGAATGCAGCACTTCATACTTGCCTTGTAGAAGCTCATAGCTGTAGGAGGGATGCACTCAGAGGGACTCACTGGGGCCTTGCCGACAGAAGAAAGTTGCACTGCTTTAACTAAAGGTGTGATTGAAAAGTGATTCAGTTAAACAGTGCACACCCTTTGTTGGCTCTCCTATTTCAGTTTAAACAGGGTTTATTTCTGGTTAGCTTAAGTTGTGTAGGAATCGGTTTAAGCTAGAGCACAATGAACCACCTAAACCGAAATAAGAGCCTCCACACAAGGTTTGCCTCAGTTTAATGCAATTGGCTTTAAAACCAATGTAAGTTAAACCAGCACAACTTTCTTGTCTAGTAAAAGACAAATGGCATGAAGCTTCACTATAAAACCTTGACCACCCTAACCTAGTCCTTTTCTGAAAATCTCCCACCCTTGCAGTCTGGTGGCCATTGTTTTTACCACTGTGTCATTAGACCTACTGAGGTAGACAGAGCAGTGATAAAAATTCTGGTGCATAATGCGGACACTGGTGCTTCCACTGCTGGGGTGGCACCAATGGTAATGGGACAGGGGGAGACTTTAAGGTAACGCAGTCTAAGACCTTGTCTAGATTCCAGATGTACATCCGTGGTGCTTCACTCAAGTGATTTCTCTCAATGCAAGCTACCATGAGTCAGTGCCTCCACATGCTGAACGTACACATATGTGCATCCAGTTTGCTGTTATGGGCTGCCTCCACACTGGTGCTACACTCAGTTGTTTGAGCTGCATTGACTTCTGGGCATACATCCAGAGTTCCCATCCCAGCTCCAACGGCAGTTGGGCTGATCGCTTGGAAATGGAGTAGCCACACAGGCCACTTTAGGGGAGTTTGCGGGGCAGTACGGGACAACATTGGTGTACTAGATTGCCTCACTTGTTGAAACATGACACTGTCCCCCAGCCATACTAGCTAGCATGGTTGACCTAGACATAATTCAATGAAACGGGGATCAGCAGTAGCCACACCACACTCTAAATATAGCAACTGAGGGAACTTTGTGTTCGGACAGAGAGTGGCTTAGAGTTTGGCTAGAAAGAACAACTGATGTTGATCATGCACTTTGTTTTAGACAACACCTAAGGCCTTTTCTACATTTAAAAGGGTTTGCCAATTTAGTTCTATCTGTATAGCTATACCAGCAAACCCTCCTAGTGTAGACTCATTTAATACCATCCAAAAAAGATTTTTGCCAGGACAGCTGATATCAGTTCCCTGAGCAAAATAAGCTAGACCAGCAAAAGGACTTTTTTGCCAATATAACTCCCTCTGTATTAGGGCTTTTGTCAACATAACTATGTTGGCACAAAATCATATAGCTATGCCAGCGAAATTTTTAAGTATAGACCAGGCCTATGTGGAGTGAAGCTTCTGTTGAAGCAGAGTAAAAGTCCGTTGACATGAGCTGAATCGATTTGGGACTTTCCCTCTTCTTAGTTCAAGGAAAATGAAGATCTTATTTCAGACATAGGTGCAAGGCAGAGCAGATACATATGACCTCTTCTGTAAGAGTTCGTAGAGATTTTCAGTTCTTCTGTGCTTCTCCTGCTTCATGTCTTTGTTCTATATGTGTATACACCAGAAGGCCAATCGGCTTTCAGCTTCAGATGACTAGCTATGGTATGGTGGTAGTTGGTTTCAATTCCCAGATGAAGCAATATTAACTCTTTTTTGTAGACACACCATTTTCTCTTACACTTATAGATTGATTTCCTTACTGATTTCCTTATTGAAGAGATATTACTAAGGGAATCTCGTTCAGAGTTTTATTTGCCCAAAGTCCTTTAAATGCATCCAGAATTTCTCTTCAAGAGCAATGAAGGGTTCACATACGGTGACTCCATAAAACTGCTGAGTTACAAGCGAGGGCCTGTCTCTACTGGGGATTTTTTCTATTGGTGCAGCTACACCAAGTAGATGAACCACACTGATGTAAAACAGGGCCGCGTAACCCACTATTCAGCATGCTCTGTGTGTCCCCATGTGTGTCTGATACCTGGAGGATGTGAGTCTGCTACAGATCTCAGCTGGTAGACTTAAGGCCCAGTCCAAAGCCCATCCAATGAAAAGACTCCTAGTGACTTCAGTGGGCTTTAGGTCAGGCCTTTATTCCTTTAACTCAGTCTGCAGAGGCTCACGTCCTTTCTCTAGAGATGCCTAGCTCAGTACCACAGAATAACCAAAACAACAGTTGTTACTCTTCTTTAAATGGGGCAAGCACTGTATTACATCACTACAACACATCTGCATTGGTGATGGCATCAGTGTAGCTACACCAGTACTAATATCCCCATCCCCAGTAGACACAGGTCCCTTAGAAGTTTAGAACTTATTCAAGACTTGTCTCCATGGGCTGCCTGTTTCTTTTGCTCCGCCTCCCTGTTTCTTTTGTGTGAGCTACAAAAGATCTGGGCCTCCCGGATCATCTGGAAATGGATCAGTGTATTCATGTGTGAAGTTTACAAAACACTGGAGCACAGGTGTCATTAGACGTTAGAAGTCATTCAGTCACACTCATGTCTTCATCCATGGTAAAAATGAAGGGAGGCTCTGC